TCAAAGATGGGGTTTCACCATATTGGTCAGGCTGGTCTCGAACTCCTGACCTCAGGTGATCCGCCCACCTCAGCCTCTCAAAGTGCTGGGATTACAGGCGTGAGCCACCAAGCCCCGGCTTCAATTGTTTAAATACTGCATTATCTCAGAAATAATTTGACATAATTCAATAACTCTGAAGCCTACCCACTAGGCTTTCATAACTGTATTACCACCTATCTGCAAGAAAAGGGAAGGTTGGCAAGACTCAACTCAATTCATGTTGTTACTGGGAGAGAAGATAGGATGCAAGATTTTAAGGGAGAAAAGATTGTTAATCACAAAGCCACACACCCATATGCCTTATTCACATTCTCCTTATTCACCACAACAGATAGGAGAGAAGAAAGGAAAAAGTGATATTTACTAAGTGTCTACCAAGTTAGCTACAACACCTCTAGAGGGAATTATTCTGAAGGGGAACCTCCCTGATATTGGCCCATCAATTAAGCTCTCTCCTTCTCAAGAGGAAACAGTAGGTTTTTTTATACCCTCCTTCCTAGTGAGGTTGAGAAAAAGAAGTGAGCGGGCGGGTCCGGTGGCTCACGCCTATAATCTCAGCACTTTGGGAGGCCTAGGTGGGTGGAACATAAGGTCAAGAGATTGAGACCATCCTGGTCAACATGATGAAACTCTGTCTCCACTAAAAATGCAAAAAATTAGCTGGGCATGGTGGTTCGCACCTGTAGTCCCAGCTACTCGGGAGGCTGAGGTGGGAGAATTGCTTAAGCCCAGGAGAGGGAGGTTGCGGTGAGCCGAGATCACGCCATTGCACTCCAGTCCGGGTAACAAGAGAGAGAAACTACGTCTCAAAAAAAAAAAAGAAAAGAAAAAATAAGTGAGGATAAACAGTTTAACTGCTTCTGGGCTCTCTTTTCGGAAAGGATACACACATACTCTGCTTTTCCAGAAAATAAAGCTCTACACCCTTGGAGTGGATGCAAGGAGAATTAGGATAGGGAGAAGGCTCCAAGTCTTTCGTTTATTTTAATTTTTATTTTAAAATAGAGATGAGGTCTCAATATTTTATGCCCAGGCTGGTCTCCAACTCTTAAGCTCAAGTGATTCTCCTGTCTCAGCCTCCAAAACTGCTAGGATTACAGGTGTAAGCCACCATGTCTGGCCAAGAAGCCTGCTAGTCTTCATGTGTAGGTTCAACTTGGGGGTAAGATATTAAAAATCCCAAATGGAGTTACGAAGCTATATTCTCAAATTCAACTTTAAAATCACTAAAGCTCATGTTCTCATATCCATCTGCCTGTCTTTGCGTCTTATTCCTTAATTCATTCTAAAGCAAAGGAGGAGATAACAATGTCATTAATTTATTACCATAAAACTGAAGGTCAAAGGTGAAATGATTTGCCGCAAAGCCCAAAGTTAGTAGTAGAACCAAATTGTGATTCCGTATGTCCATGCTGGCTCATCAGCAATTCAGAAAACAAAAAACTCAATATGCTACTTACCTGACAAACAAATTTGACATCTGGTGAAGATCTATTGAAGGGTTTCGGGAAAACATAGAAGTTAAATGACTTCGTTATATACCTGGGATAATAAAATACAAGGAGACTTAGGAGGTTATATTATGCCACAAAAACAGCATTCCCAACGTTCGTTAAAATAACCTACTTTGACTCTGTGTAGTCATACTTAAAAGTGCAAAGGCCAAACTGAAACAGCAAAAAGTCCATGGAATGCTGGAAAAGGGAAATAAAACATCTGTCACAATAGTCCTGCATATTCCATCTGAGCATAGCATTCTCAAACAGGTAGGCTTTCCAAATTACTCAATGAGACTTTAGCAGAATACTTCCATTTAGAACAGATTACAACTATGAATCTGAAGCATTATTAATTTGTATACATTTCATAATACTTTTCACATTTAAGGACCTATTTATCCATCATCCAGAGAATCATATTAGGTCTATTTCCAAATGATTAAAATAACTGCATCATATTTCCTATAATCAAATTAACACTGAAAATGCTAAACCTTCCCCAAAATGTTTTCCAGCAAACAATTATTTTTGCTGTTTTAAATATCATTAAAATAAAAATTAAAAAACAAAATAAAATGAAAAACAAAATTTAAAAAAAAGAAAAATAAATAAATATCATTAAAATAATATTTTAAGGCCAGGTGTGGTAGTTCACACCTGTAATCCCAGCACTTTGGGAGGCTGAGGCAGGAGGATCATTTGAAGCCAGAAGTTCTAGACCAGCCTGGTCAACAAAGTGAGACCCATCTCTACAAAAGAATATGTAAAAATTAAAAAAAAAAAAAAAAATTGGTTGGGCACAGTGGCTTGGGCCTGTAGTTCCAGCTACTTGGGAGGCTGTGGCAGGAGAATCATTTGAACCAGGAATTCAAGGCTCCAGAGAGCAATGATCACACCACTGCAACCCAGCCAGGATGACAGAGTGAGATCTTGTCTCTAAAACAAGAAAAAAACAAACAAACAAAATACACTTCATGGCTAGGTTTGAGGAGAAGGCACTGCACTTAGAAAACCTTAATGCACAAGTTTAATAACAATATTTCTCTATCATTTAACGTAAAGAAGACCAAGATGGAAAGGAAAAACATTTTCTAGCACATCCACTTGCCTTTTTAAGCTTCTGATATCTTTCTTCTGGGGTGTCAAAACCATTTGTTAATGCAGAGACTGAAGGTCCATCACTAATTCCTAGATTTTAAGAAATAAAAATTTTTATCTAATAAATGCTAACGTAAAAATGCCAGTCAACCATTCAGTGCCTCTGTGATATCCTATCATGAATTAAGGTTATTTGGAAGCACTCCCTAACTTAACTTACTTTTTCAAAATTAGCATTAACTGCACTGGGCACCAGGTTAAACCCTCTAGTAAAAAACTTAAGAGACATGAATGTTTCAACTTGAAAATAGGCAGTTTCAGTGTCTAAAACGTGACTTAAAACACACTAATCATTTAAGAAAACCACCTCTATGCTTGAGTAAGTTTTGCTGCTTTAAAGGAGTCTTGTATAAGCAGACATCAATAAATCCCTAGGTATATTATTGCCAGAGTTCCAGTCTTGGTCAAGAGTTGGAGTGGTTGATATCTACACAAAGAATGTATTTTCAAGGTCAAGAAAAAATTATTTCTGGTGAAAACTCTTAGCTTCCTAGGGAACTGACTCCAACTAGAAACTGCTTAAAGCCAAGGATAATATTTACCCCTGCATAGATTCCTGCACAATTCAAACATGGAAAATCAGATAGCAAAAATGGATATCCATATCAAAGGGAGTGAACAGTTCAAACTGACATCAACAATTTAAAAACTAGCCGGGCCAGGCACGGTGTCTCCGCCTGTAATCCCAGAACTTTGGGAGGCTGAGGTGGGTGGATCACCTGAGGTCAGGAGTTCAAGACCAGCCTGGCCATATGATGAAACCCCATCTTAAAAAAAAAAGAAGAAAAAAATAAAAACTAGTCTTTGCTCCCTCTAAAAAAGGGAAAAAAGGCCAGGCGTGGTGGCTCATGCCTATAATCCCAGCACTTTGGGAGGCTGAGGCAGGTGGATCACTTGAGTTCAGGAGTTCAAGACCAGCCTGGCCAAAATGCCATCTCTACTGAAAATACAAAAATCCGCCAGGCATAGTGACACATGCCTGTAATCCCAGCTACTCAGGAAAGCCGAGGCAGAATTGCTTGAACATGGGAAGCAGAGGTTGCAGTGAGCCAAGATAGCACGATGGCACTCCAGCCTAGGTTAAAAAACAAGACCCCGTCTCAAAAAAAGAAAGAAAGAAAAGAAAAAAGGCGGGTGGGGAACTTGCAACTTTAAGTGTCAGTTAAGTATTTACCGTACACACACCAGCTGAGGCAGGCAATGGACATGGACATGTGCACTAATGCATAAAGGAATATCTCATTTACCTGCAAAAACCTGACCCTAGGCAGTCACAACAGGGCAAATATTTTAAGATACCACTTATAAGAGATGTCAAGGGCAGTCAAATTCAGAGACAAATAATGGTTGCTAAAGGCTGGGGAGGAACGGCGAGTTCAATGTGTAAACAGTTTCAGTTTGTGAAGATGAAGAATTCCTAGAGATGAATGCTGATGTTTGCATAGCAATGTGAATGTACTTAATGCCAATTAACTGTAAAGTCACTTAAAATGGTAAATGTCACGTTATACATATATATATATATATATATATATGACTATTAAAAAAAAAGGCCTGACCCTAATCCTCAAGCTCTCCAAAACGTATACGCCGCACTGTTTTAAGCAGCGCCGAAACCATCATCTCTATCTGCCATCCTGAGTCCAATACAAACCCATGGCATCTCTTCCTTTCTTCCGTGCTTTTGAAACATTTAAAGAGAAACGTTGAGACCTGTGAAATCCACCCAAGGCTAACAGTGAGAAGCCACCATCAGGCATAAGAAGTCAGGGGCTGAGGGAATTGAAGGAGCCTTGGCTACGCATTGCAAGGTGCAAGCTCTGAGCTTGCAAGGGAGGGATACCTGAAAACTCCCCATCGATGGCGAAGAAGTCTGCCTCCTCTATGGCCTGGTACACTTTGTGAAGATTGCTCTTAAAATCTGCGGAGAAACCGAGAAGAGGCTCAGAACCGTTGGCCTAAATTCCTGCTAATGGGGAAAGGAAAGGAGGGCCGAGGAGCTCCCGGGACCGAAAGCCGGAAGGGGACAAGTCCCAGGGGTGTGCACAGGCACGAGGGGATCAAGTCCTCGAAGGGTGCAACGGCCAGAGGGGTACAAGGCCCGGGGGTTGCCCGAGTCGGAGGACAAGGCCCCGGGGGTGCCGCGGTTGGAGGAGTAAGTACAAGGCCCCCAGGGTGCACGGTCCGCAGCGGGACAAGACCCCAAGAGGCTCACGGGCTTAAGGAAGGAAAAGCCCTCAGGGGGCTACCTCAGCCCCAGTCCCAGCCAAACAGGCCGGCCATGGTCTCGGCCTAGCAGGCCAGAGGCAACCCGGTGTGGGGAGGCGGGGAGGTGCACGGCGGACACGCACTGCTCCTGATTATCTCCATTCTGCAGAGTGGCCGGAACCCCGGCCCTACCCGGGCCCGCGCCCGTCTCAGCGGTTCTACTCGCCGAATTCCGCGGCAAACGCGGCTGCAGTAGCGGCAGCAGCAGCGGTGACGGGGCCGCAACTTCCGGACACAGCGCTCTCCTGCTACGCTTGCGTCAGCGCCTGCGTCGGCGGCGGGGGCGGGGCCAAGGCTGGGCTTCTTTCACTCCTTCCAGGGACAGGGTAGGGGCGTGGCTATCGACGTCCCAAAGGCGTGGCCTAATTTGTGCGGGCATTCAGTTTGGCAGAAAAAATGTGCCTGTCTGGACATCCAGTCGACCAGGAAATACTGGGTTTCTATTACATGCTAGCCACTCTTATAGGGGTGTAGATACAGTGATGAACAGGAAAACGTGCCCCCGTCGCATTGTAGGTTAAACTTGGGATGACGGGAAACTCAGGCAAGAGTCAAACCTGCCACTTGAGAACACATGAAAATCGCTATGAAGAAAAAAGAGCAGGGTGAGCCTGGGCGGTGGCTGACGCCTGTAACCCCAGCACCTTGGGAGGCCGAGGCGGGCGGAACAGGAGATCAGGAGTTCGAGAACAGCCTGGCCAATAAAGTGAAACCCCGTCTCTACTAAAAATACAAAATAAATCAGCTGGGCGTGGTGGCGGGCGCCTGCAGCTACTTGGGAGGCCGAGGCAGGAGAATCGCTTGAACCTGGGAGGCGAAGGTTGCAGTGAGCTGAGTTCGCGCCACTGCACTCCAGCCTGGGTGACAGAGTGAGACTCCATCTCAAAAAATGAAAAGAAAAGGCAAAAGAAAAAGGGCAGGATGCTGTAATAGAGAATAATGGAATCCAGGCGAGGTGGCCCACACCTGTAAGCCTAACACATTGGGAGGCCGAGGCGGGAGGATCACTTGAGCTCAGGAATTCGAACCCAGCGTGGGAAGCATTGTGAGACCTGTCTCTTAAAAAAAATAAAATTAGGGCCGGGCGCGGTGGCTCACGCCTGTAATCCCAGCACTTTGGGAGGCCGAGGCGGGTGGATCACGAGGTCAAGAGATCGAGACCATCCTGGTCAACATGGTGAAACCCCGTCTCTACTAAAAATACATAACATTAGCTGGGCATGGTGG